ATTAAAAGTAGGATTATTGATTTTATTGATGATTTTGAGTAGAAGTGTGATTCTTGAGGAGAAATGCAAAACTGACATGGAATGTTCGGCAGCGTTTTCCGAGTGCTCGACGGGTGGTTGTCGATGTAAGAAAGGATTTCAAAGGGATGGGAAAGGAGGTTGCAAACCCATAGGTAAATTGAATATTAACCTCTAAAACGATCTAACCTATAAGGAACTCAAATGGGGATACTTAGCTTACAACTGCATTAATAATGGCAAACCGTTAATGATTGCGGATGAAATTGCGACGTGCTCGATGAGATCAACGCTTGCAAGGCTTCTATTTAGTCGTTTAAACAAGAGATCAACGAAGAACCCCGCACTAACATCCCTAAATGGAACAGGTACCGTCTAAAAATTATTACTCTAAAGCACATAAATGTCGTTCTAGCTGATTGGTCCGATTTGAGTGACGAGTGTCCAGAGCACTACTATTGTGTACCGTTATTTGACGATGCGGCAAAGCCTGGTTACTATCAGGTAAACAAACTAAAACATACTTTTACATACTTAGGTGGGTAAGGACGCATTTTTACCATAATCCGACTTCACTCAGCAAGTAAAAACAAGTATATGCTACGGCTTCAATGGACATGGTTGTGGACTACGGAAAAAATGCGTCTCTAGCCGAATTATTACTAGATCATTCTTCCAATTAAGGGATTTTGCTGCCCATCACCGGGACCACCTCGTCCAGTTTGCCCAGTTGGTGAACCGCATGAGACGAGTTTTCCGCCAGATTACGGTTGTGACTACTGTCCGCTAGAATACTACTGTCACAGAGATGCTTTTTACCCAGATAAATCAGTAAGCAGACCATCTCTAAACTGAAAATTTTATTTTGTATGAAAAAAAGTCGGGAAAAAAGTGATATTGCTAAACGTTTGGTTCAGATTTGCTGCCCCAAGCCTTGCATTTCTTTGGACGATGTCTATTATGATGGACAGTGCTATCCTACGGCTTTCTATGGCGACAGTTGTCATGTAAGTGAGGGCGCAAACAAAAGAAACTGGATTTATTTTGTTTTATACTATTTTTTTTTCTAATGAAAATTCTTGAATACGTTTAAATCTAAAAATTTCCCAACAATTTGCAAATTTGAATTTAGCTGACGAGCTAAAATATGGGAAAAAACGCTCCATAAACTGTAGAATTCCCGTAAAG